CTCTTTTATATATATATATATATATATATATATATATGTATTTTTTTAATTTAAATTATTTTTTATATTTTAAAAGTTAATAATTTAATCCTCAAATTTTAAAAAATATATAGATTTACTCTTTTAATAAATTTTATATTAAGTAAAAAAATTTAAATTTAAGAAAAAAAGATTAAAAATATATATTTTTAAAAGTTAAATAATCAAATTAATCAATTTAAAATATTTGGATAAAAATAAATCTATAAAAAAATATAGAAATAATATATATATATATATATATATATATATTATACCGTTGCCAATTAAATATTTTCCTATTTTTTAGAACATAATTTTAATTATATTTTTTCTCCTCTGATACAATTTTAGTTTTCTAGATTTTAATGGTAACAATTGGATTAATTAAATGTAGCAAACATGTAGATGTGTAATGTGTTTTTATCTGTTAATTTTTAAATATAAATATAAGTATATTATTTAATTAAAAATATATACTATAAATTAATGTAATAAGTGATTTATTTATTTTAAAAATAAATATCATAATAAATTTCTAATAATCACTTATTTCAATATTTAATTATTATTTTAAATTAATAAATTATTAAAGATATAAATAATAATAATAATTAATTTTTTAATTTTTATTTTAAAATTGAATTATTATTTTTTAAATAAAAATTAATTTTATTAAAAATTTAAATTTGGGAATATATTTTTATTTAAATAATTGTCTAACAAGAATCGAAGTGATAACCTTAATTTTGATACCAATTATTAGATTAAATACTTATTACTTGACCAAAAAATTATAACTTTTAATCAAAAAGTAACTCTTTTTATTTAAGAGTTTACTTCCAATATAAATATTTTAATATATATTTTTTTAATTTTAATTATATAAAAAATAATTCATTAGTTTGTTGATCTAGTCTATGATAATAGACTAAATTTTTTTATTAATTTTAAAATATAATTCAAACCAGATCTATGAAATCAGGTTGGACTAGATCATGCACCTTCACATTTCTAAATAAGACTATTATATAAAACAAAAAATTGAAATAACTAGAATTTAATATTAAAAATAAATCTTATAGTTAACAAATTTCAAAAATAATTATTTTAACACGAACAAAAGTGTAATTAAATATTTAAAAATAGACATTTATTTCTTCAAACATTCCGTTAATCATTGAGCTAGAATCTTGATACTTATTAACTCATGTTACAATGAAAAAGATTTATAATAAAAATCTCTGTTGGACGAGACTACATGTCTAATAGAAATAATATTATTTGAATTAAGTAGGGACGACCAGTAATTATAGTATTTAAATTCCTTATATTTACATAAAAACACATTTAAAATATTATATTCTATAATCTAATAAATTTTTTTATCTTTATTTATTATTATTATTATTATTTTCTCAATTATTGTTCCTTGTTTTTTTTTTTGCATTCTCTATTTTTAAATATTTCTTCTCACATAATTTAAAATAAAAATAATTAAATTTTTGAGAAAAATTACACTTTAAAATAATTTAAAAATTTATTTCAATTAATAATATAATTTATAATATATCTAAATAAATTAATTATTTTAAATAAATAAATTGTTGACCGGTCTACGTTCGGATTTGAGTTTTTTCGTTTTAGTAAAACGATAGGGATGAACATGGATTTCCTAATTTTTTTTTCATGATTTAATATTATTTTATTTATAATTTATGTTTATTAAATTTTATTGTATCAAATTTTTTGAATATTATTATTTTTATTTATTATATATAGAATTTTATTTTAATTTAAAAATTTTATATCTTGAAAGATTAATAAATTTAGAGAACGATAAATTTACATTAATTAAATAATAATTAGTTTGTTAAATATATTTTTATAAATTATATATTTTATATTTATTAAATTTTAAAATAATAAACTTAAAAATAATTATTGTTTGATTATAATGTTATAGTATGTAATATAATAATAATAATAATGATAAGTCTTTTATATTTATATAAATATTGATTTTTTATATACATATTTTTAATATAAATGTGATAAATTAAAATATATATTCAAATAATAATAATAATAATTTAAAAATTATAACATTAATAATAATAATAATTTATTTAAATATAGGAAATAATATATAAAAAGGAATATCATTAAGAACATGGAGAAAAAATAAATTCAATATATCTAACAATAATTAAAACTAGACTTAATTTATAATTTCGCTAAAATTTGAAGACAAGGACAATAATAATTAAGAATGTCATACCAAGTCAGGAGGTAAAACCCATTTTGTCCCATTGTCCTGTTAATAGAATTTATGATACCAACAAATTATTTGTGATTATATATTTATTATATTTTTATAATTATTAATTTAATTAAAAAATATGTTATAAATGTATATATGACATTTTAATTATTTTATTGGGTTAAAATAGGAATGATAATTTACAATTGAATAATATTTATATGAGAATTCTCCGAACTAAGAACTTATGGACATATTCTTTTGAATTTCAGAGTTCATCATCTTCCTTTATAGTTTAATATGGCATCAACCTAGGCCACTTTCAATACCTAATCTTTGGTCATGATGTTTTTCCTAGTTCAAAGTATTATCTTGGGGTTATTTTTATTAGTTCAAAGTACCCTCTCTTTTCTAATCCTAAGTATTTCGTGTTCGTTTTTTTCCTAGATCCATGTTTATAAACAAAATATGATATCTTGTCAATACACCTTACTAGCAAAAATTAATTAATGTGGGAGTTCCAATTTGGGATATTTGTCAAAGATAAAAATTTGCAGGGTCATGTTGGCAGTAACACTCTTGCCCCTAACAAAGATCATCATCTAATTCAATATGCCGAATGAGAAGTTTGTGATGCTCAAGTCATAACCTGGATCTTACATTATGTTGTTCAAAATCTTTATCCCTATAAAACTACAACAAATATTTGAGCTTACTTGGAGAAAATTTATAGTAAGAATAACATCGCTTGTCGATTTTAACTTGAACATGAAATAGTCAATTTTAAACAAGGTAGTCTCTCTATCTCAGACTTTTACTCTCAATTTATGAACCTTTGGGTAGTACATTGATATAGTTTATGAAACTTTGACCGATGATGACTTAATTTCATTCCAATCTATTCATGAAATTATTAAAATAATTTAGATATGAATTTGAAGGTATCTGATCCAGTTTCATGCATATAGATATAATACCATTATTGGATGCATGTCTTGATGATTTGTTACATGAAGAACAAAGTATTTTTACAAGGTCCATTCTTAAAGAATATCATTCATCTAGTGTTTTAACAACATACATGGCATGGGATAAATTGAAGACCCAATCTTTAGAGAATATTCAATATTTTTGTTGTTAACAATTTGGACATTATGCATCAAAGTGTTCCTACAAAGTTTGCAAGTACAACAAACAACATGGATATATTATTAAAAAATGTCCAACAAGGCTACCATGATGAACTATCATAACTTTTACAACATCAAATTGATTCCAATAATTTTGTTAAGCCACCACCCAATCAACAAAATGCTTCTACCTCCATTCAAACTTTGACTTCTGAAATAGTTTAACAAATGATCACTTTAACATTTTTTGCTATAAGACTTGTAAGTATCCTATCTTCATCTTGGTATTTTGATTTTTGGTCTTCCAATCACATGATCAACAATGCCAAATTCCTTAATATTAAAACCTATTATGAGAATCTCAATATGTATACTATTGATGAAAATCAATAACTTGTCACCACAACTCACTATAAGAAAAATTAAATTTTTCGACAGACAAAATCCATCAATAACCAAGAAAATCTAGTGATAAATAGATACATTGACGGATTACCAACGGGCAAAAAGTCGATAATTGTGGGTCAATAAAATTTACCGATAGATTTTTCTAGTCTATCGGTAATTACTGGCGGATATATTAGTGGGAAAGTGTCGTGGATAATTACTAATGGATATTATTGTGTAAAGTCTGGTAAGAGTGTGTTTTTAAAGACTTATCGACAGATATATTTGTCGGTAATTATCAGTTATAGTCCTCAAGCCATTTATCGGTGGATTATCCGTCAATAAATTCATTGATAAAAAACTGCCTCTATTTCTAGTAGCCATTATTTTTTGTCCCTTCCCATATAACTTGTAACATGTATAACATCCAGTCCATTCAACCGTTCAATTCAACAATTTATTCAACAGTCCAATTCAACAATCCAATTAAACAAGCTATTCAACAATCCAATTAAATAACACAAATCTAACTAAAATTAATAACAACTAAATTCAAATGTACTCTAGATTATCCACAATCAAACATAATATACAATCCTAAAAAGAGGCTAAAGAGACAACTAGAACTAAAATATTGTTCTATTATTATTTCTACAACATTTAATAATGAGAATATTAAGAAGAATGATATTCTGGTATGTTGTCTTCTTGTGGTGGGTTATCTTGCTGCTCTTGATTCCTTTCTTGTTGTTGGGGTTATTCTTCACTATCTAGTTGACTATGTTGGCGCTGCTAAATGAGTGACTGTGCACTGAAGGTTAGAAATTGAACGATTGCACCAACAAGGGATTAGAACGCTCTAAATTGGTGCTCTAGTCCCCCATTGTGCTGCCTTGTTTGATGAATTTCTTCTTGTGTAGATAGTTGTTGCCTCAGTTGATTCATCTTTTATAAGTTCATTGAGGAGCTGGATGCTTGAGGCTATCAGATCCACCATGATAACCATGAGCAAGCTCTCCAGTCCCATACAATATTCCTTTATTCTTACCCCAATTATGTCCACCCATGAGCACAAAGAAGATGATCCACATAGTTAAAATATACACTAGAGAAAGCATAAACCACAACCAAATACATGACCTTATCATAATACAATTCATCTAGACTAGACAAACCAAAAAAATAATATTCCCATTCAAACTCTAGGGCAAACCAAGACCAAACCCCAAACAAAGCCAGTCCGGACCAATGCAAGCTGGACAACCAAACCTAAAACCAAACACTATCATTCAAACTCAAATTAGACAAGTCTCATCCCATACAACACACAAACCAAAAATCAAGTTCAGATTCAATCTTGACCCATCTTGCATTAAACAAAATAAATTGCCCACCAACAAAGTCATTCCCATATCCAAGCAGAATAAGGCAGAACTGAAAAAAAGGGAGAAGAAGACAAACAACAAAGACACAATGAATCAATGCAGTAATGGAAGAAGGAAAAATGTGAACAAACCCTCATGGAGAGCTGAGATGGTTCGGGGAGGCGTGACCAAGTTGGGTGAACAACTAGGGTTTTGACGAAAAGGGGAAAGTGGTATTGGAACAGTGCTGGAGGCTGCAACCACAAAGGCGGGGCACGAAGATGGTTCTAGTGAATGTGAGATTAGAGTGAGGAGAAGTGAGGGTGGTGGGTTTGCTACTGGTTTCGCGGTGGGCATGCGAGCTATAGTAGAGACCTGCGGTGGTCGTGGGTGATGCTGGTTAAAGGCCACATGACATGGCTAAAGCTCTTGGTGGCCGATTGGTGGCGAGGGGGGCTAGCTAGAAGGTATTTGGACTGACGGTGAAGGCATGATTGGTTCTGTCTTTCGAAAAGAAGATAGTTTCATTTTAATTTGTTTTATACCACTTATTGATGGATCATATGAAATTACCGAAAAATATTTTCACCTATATTTTATCGATGGATATTGATATGAATCACAAAGGGTAATTTAGGATCCTTAGGGTTAAAACCTTGTAAGAAATTTAGGAATTAGAAAGAAGGTGGAAGGAAAGAATCACCCTTCCCAAGGGAGGCAACACACAAAGGATGTGACAATCCTTTGATACAACCAAGGGTTCTTGAATCACTCAAAAATTTAGGAGAATCACTCTCACTAAGATAAAAGAGATAAACTCTAATATTTCTGAATAAAATTTCACTTGTTATTTCTTGATAAAAATGGTTCAGCTGATATAGAAGCGTTGCCATCAGAATTACAAAAGACTCAATAAAAGAAAATAAATACTAATAATAACCCATTAATCTAGGAATTGAAAACTATTTAATGGAAACAAATAAAGGCTAATAATGATGCATTAACCTAGGAATTGAAACTACTTAATGACTGATTGTATCTGAAACTGTGGCAACCAAAAGTCAATCAGCTATGCACCCCTTGGTCTCCCAAAGGCTTATGACTAAATTTTCAATTGGGCCCTTATTACAACTTAAAACAAAATCAAACTAAAGCCCATTAATTGATTAATTCAAAACATAATTTGGTCAACCAACAATATTTGTTGAAGAACTTCCTTTATTTCCCTTGTTCTAGCCTTTATCATAGGTCATGTTCATATCATTCTCTCCCTCTTGAAAAAGATTTGTCCTCAAATCAGATTTCCCATCTACATAAAAAAGAGATAAGTCTGACAAATTGAATGTAAAATTAACATTATACTCACTTTTTATAGCTAAATAATTCTCCCTCACTTCAAGTGTTTCACTCTTCTTTTGATCACTCTTTTTCCTCTCAAGTGTTTCACTAACGCTTTCTTTCTCTCTCTTTTCTTGAAGAAGTTTTTCTCTCATTTTTTTTTATCCTCACACACTTCTTGTGGACTCAAAGGTTTAAGCACAATCTTCTTGTCTTGGTGCATGAAAGGGATCTTGTTGGTGAACCCGTTATGATTAACTCTTTTATCAAAAGTAAGTGACTGACTTCCATAGGAATAATATCACAAAGCACCTTATCATTGTATTTTCCAATGGAAATGTCCACTTCAACTTGTTGTCTCACTTGCACCTCTCCATCCTTACTAACACTAGTGCAAAAAGGGGCTTTTACGTCAGGTATTTAGGGCTTTTTACGTCGTATTTAAGTCCGACGTTAAAGCGGGAGACGTAAATTTACGTCGGATCTTTTGCCCGACGTAGATTTACGTCAGTTATCAAGATCCGACGTAGATTTACACTAAACAGACGTAAAAACCTTTTCAATTTAAAAAAAAAACAGAAAATTTACGTCGCATATGGTATACGCGACGTAAATTTACGTCGCATATACCAATACGCGACGTAAATTTACGTCGCATATACCAATATGCGACGTAAATTTACTGTTTTTTTTTAAATTGGGTTTATTTATTCTGTTTTACAACTAAAACCCGCAAATATTACAACCGAGACAGTCAGAGGTTCAGTTTTCTTTAGCTAGTAAATTAAAAATATAATATTATATAATTCAAACTACATAATAAAACAATATAATACAAACCTACAAACTAAAAAATCTATTACAAACTAAGCTACCTATACAAACTAAACTAAACTACATAATACACACAATATAATATGAACAAGAACTTAAAAAATAATGTACTAGAATTGTTGAACAAAAAATTTTGCCCATTGTTCTCTAATTTCCGTAATCTCGGATTCGGTAACTGGAGATGGATCTTGAAATACCTGAAACATGAATTTGACTCTTGTAAGCATGCAACATGAATAAAGTTAAATAAACTTAACTAATGTTAAAAGTAATTACCTCCGTCCAAGAATCAATTAAACCCGCACTATGGCTCTCATCCAATACATTACATAGTAACCACATTCAAACGAGTCAGCTTGCTTATTACACTCGAACACTTCCTTTCATGCATATCTTGTTAAGCAGCTCTTAGTAACTCGATACCTCCTACAGGAGAAACACGAATGTCTTCGGACTTAATCAAAAAGCATATACTTGTAATTAACATTGTTTTGGATTAAAAAAGAAGAACATAGCAACCTATCTTTCTCAAGTTTTTTTCTTCAGTCGTCATGTTTATCCCTCTTCGGAGAATACACCAATGAGCGATTCTTGATCATTGTTTAACTCTTCAGTCTCTTTTTCTGCATAATTGAGCTGGTGAAGAAAAGAAGTAAGAAACTTGCAACTCGAATTTAAACAAGGACAGTAAGAAACTTTATGGGTCGGATAAATTCAGCAAGTATATAATATTCGATCAAATCTGGATCAATTGAATAGTCTACATTTTATTTATTTTTCATTCACAATGTTATAGACAGGAAATGTACAAATGAGAAGTCTTAAGGATGGAAAAATGTCATATATGATACACTAAATTTGCGTGGGATAGACTTCAAATCACATTGGTATAGTGGTTCCTTACCATCCTTTACATCTTTTCCTTGCAATTCAACGTCAACTTCTTTAAGGGATATTTTCAAACAACAAAATAAGAAAACAATTTATAGACTGAAAGTATTTTAGACTCCTAGTCATCACCATAACTCAAAATTTAGAAGCAATTTTCCGTAATCAATTATAGCAGCACTCATTTTGGAACGCGTAAATTAAAATCATCAACCACTTGTCTGGTTTGGACATTTTTGGAAACAATAATTCAAGTTCCAATGCATGGATATATACTATCAGAAAAATAGAGAATTGGAACAAAGTGATATAAAGATGATGATGTGAATACCTTCAGCTTGAATCCCCGTATGTACTGCAAGGCTTTTCCACTTGATGCAGTATCTTGAAAATATCCATTCTCATTTTTAATTGACTTTTCAGCAGTAAATATGTTTTGAGTTTTCCTCTTAGGCAAGAGAATATCACTAACATCAACATCATCATCATCATCCGTAGATGATTGTTCAAACGATTTTTGTATTCTGGTAAACTCAGCAATCTTGAAAGCTCTAGAAATCCCATGAACCACGAACTTCTCCGAAGTGATCATGTCAGTGCCACAATCTAAACACCATTAACAACCATGCCTGTCACGAAATCCAGAATCCCATCAATTTCAAGATGCTCATCGAGCACGAGCGTCTTCAAGAGAGTCCTAACCTAGGCAAAGAAGTGAGTTCTTTGTAGCAAAACTTTTGAGGTAGAATATGAAGTTTCACCGCTTTATCAAGTAAAGTTGAAGGGCAGGGGTCAAGTAAGGTGAAGTCGGGAGGAGCAAAGATGGTAGCAAAAGTTACACCACCTGAAAAATCTTTCTTTATCTCATCAAGAACAGAGTGTAATGCTGTTGAGAATGAAGCATACCCTTTCGCACGAAGCAAGCGAATAATGCGATTCCATTCAACCCCACTCTTAAAGAGGGAGGCATGGGAGGAGTTGGAAAGACAAGCAGGAGAGTGAATAAAAAAATCCAAACCCCTTTGAAGAAGGTCTTGGGCGTGGAAGGGAGAGAAGGGTGCAAGAACCCCATGCACGGCTAGTTGCTCTCCAAGGAAAATGTTAGGGTTTGATATCAACACGTTGTTAATCTTGACGGAGTTTCGTGCACGGTCAACTTTGGTGAGGGAGATGTTTTTGTGGCGAAGGAGAGTTGTGAGGCAGGTTCCTTGGGACATCTTGAGGAGGTCGTGGAAGGAGAAGGGGTTGTAGGTGGTGGTGTGGTAGAGGAGGAGGGTTTTGAGGAACCAAAGAGGATGTGAGGTGTTTCTGATTGCTGAGTCTCTGATGGCGAAGATGGTTGAGTTTTGGGGCGGTTTGAAGAATGAAGGAGAGTGGTGGAGAAGGTCTGCCATGAGTATGAACCCTACTCTTCGGAGAGCCTTGGAAGCATTCAGTGAGAGGTCATGGGGTATGGGCGTGGCTTCTTGTGTTGAGTTCTTGGAATCAGATGAACGCATTGCTGAGGATATGGCAATGATTCCGAGGACTATTGAGGCTACCATGTAGAGTGGGAACCAACACCAACGGGAATAAGCCATGCACAGAAGAACATGAACGTGTCATGCACAACACTGGAAGAAAGAATGAGTGGAAGAAAGAAACGAGTCAGTTTGCTCAAAGGTAAAAAGCTAAGGCTTTTTACGTCGCGCCCCAGTAAGCGACGTAAAAGTCCATCTTTTACGTCGCGCCTCCCAGGTGCGACGTAAAAGAGGCTTTTTACGTCGCATATTGGGATGTGCGACGTAAAATTTTTGTCCCATATTTACAAAATTGCCACCGTGTTTTATTTACGTCGAATATACATGCATGCGACGATAATTAGGTGACGTAAAAGCCCTATTCTGCACTAGTGTAAGTCATTGAAGTTTATATGACCTAGGATGTGGTTTGGTAGCTAAATTTAGCTTTGATACTAATCTAGCACTAGCCACATTGGTGCAACTACCTCCATCTATGATCATCATGCACACCTTGTCATTGATGAAACATCTAGTGTGAAAAATATTTTTTCTTTGGCTTTCTTCCATAGGTTTCAATTGACTATCAAGTAATCACCTAATCATCAATAAATCTCCCTTTGGAATCTCCTCCTCCTCCTCAGTGTCTTCACTCTTTACTCCCTCTTCAACCTCAGATTCACTTATATATTCTCCCTCTCTAAGAATCATGGTCTTTGTGTTAGGGAACTCATAAGCATAATGTCCTAGGCCTTGACACTTGAAACACTTCACATCTCTACTTTTTTTAGAGGGTTGTTCTTCATATTTTGAATGAGTCTTTGTAGGAATAGGTGTGGAACTACTAGAAGTAACAGTCCCATCTTTTTTGCCTTTGTCCTTCCAACTTGAAAATCCAAAGTTGGTAGAACTCTTCTTAGTCACTTCTTTTCTTTTAAGTTGTTGCTCCACTCGAATTGCTTTATGAAGTAAATCCTCCATATCAACAAACTCCTCCAACTCAACAATATCACATATATCAATATTCAAACCACCAATAAATCGGGTCATAATTACCTCTTCATCTTCTTCAATCTTTGCTTGAATCATGAGCATGTCCATTTCTTTGAAATACTCCTCAACCCCTTTGTTGCCTTGAGTAAGTTTTTGGAGTTTAAATTTCAAGTCCCTTGCATAACTAGCCGGCACATACCGCTTCCTCATGATCCTTTTCATCTCAGTCCATGTATCAACCATTGACTCTTCATTTCTATCTCTCTCCTTTTGTAGCTTGTTCCACCAAACATGAGCATAGTCAGAAAATTCCGTTGTTGCAAGTCTCACCTTTTGGGTCTCCTCATAATTGTTGCATGGGAAAACATGCTCTATTTTCATCTCCCACTCCAAGTATGCCTCTGGATCACTTTTTCCTTTGAACGGAGGAATGTTAAGCTTGACTCCTTCAAGCCTACTTGGTCTTGCTACTTCATAATTCATTATCCTATTTCTCCTTTCTTCTTCGTCTTCAGGATTTCTATTCTCCAACCGGTTCAATCTTTCATGGAGCTCATTGTTATGTCGTATCATTAATCTTTCCAAATATTGTACCAATACTCTCATTTGAAATGGACTAATTCCTGCTTCTTGATTGTAATTTTCCTCTTCTGCCATCAATTTGATGTTTAAACCCTTAAACTAGAGCTCTGAATACCAAATGATATGAATCACAAAGGGTAATTTAGGATCCTTAGGGTTAAAACCTTGTAAGAAATTTAGGAATTAGAAAGAAGGTGGAAGGAAAGAATCACTCTTCCCAAGGGAGGCAACACACAAAGGATGTGACAATCCTTTGATACAACCAAGGGTTCTTGAATCACTCAAGAATTTAGGAGAATCACTCTCACTAAGATAAAAGAGATAAACTCTAATATTTCTGAATAAAATTTCACTTGTTATTTCTTGATAAAAATGGTTCAGCTGATATAGAAGCGTTGCCATCAGAATTACAAAAGACTCAATAAAAGAAAATAAATACTAATAATAACCCATTAATCTAGGAATTGAAAACTATTTAATGGAAACAAATAAAGGCTAATAATGATGCATTAACCTAGGAATTGAAACTACTTAATGACTGATTGTATCTGAAACTGTGGCAACCAAAAGTCAATCAGCTATGCACCCCTTGGTCTCCCAAAGGCTTATGACTAAATTTTCAATTGGGCCCTTATTACAACTTAAAACAAAATCAAAATAAAGCCCATTAATTGATTAATTCAAAACATAATTTGGTCAACCAACAATATTTGTTGAAGAAATTCCTTTATTTCCCTTGCTCTAGCCCTTATCATAGGTCACGTTCATATCAAATATTACCAATGGAAATGTCCTTAGGTAAACGTAAAAAAAGGCACCCTATTTTCCGACAGATATTACTGACGGATTGTGTGTAAGGTGGTTTTATCAACTTACCAGTAGATAATTCGTCGATAATGTTAAATTATCAATGATAATTTATCTTTCGGTCAATTATTAATTTCTTGTAGTTACTGACGGATATTACATCATTACTCTAGATCCCTAATCTTGCCCGACCTTGCAATAAGTTCTAAAAATCCTCTATTTTGAAGATGGACAAGGCTTCATTAGGCACCTAGTAGCATTTTCTAGGTTCCATTTAAGAAAAGGAGGGTTTTCTTCGAAAAATAAAAATTAGGGTTTTTGTTAGAAGGCTGGGACGGTCGTCCCAGATCCAAACGACCGTCTCACCCCTTTTGTAGCCTGGGATGGCTGTCCCAAAATTCTAGACGTCCGTCCCACCTGATAAAATCCAGGATGGTTGTCCTGACCTCCTGGATCCGCGAGCCTATAAATAGGAGTTCATTTCTCGCATTTCCTCACACCATTCAGAGCTCTCCCTCTTCTCTCTCCTACTCTGAAACTTTCTCGAGCATTTTTTGCTTTGTTTCAAAGTCCGAGTAGTATTTCCGACTATCCTTTTCAGATTAAGTCGGTTAAGAAAGTCTCTTTTTAAGACATCCGGTGCTCGGTAGTATAATAATTTTTTTGTTCATGGGAGGAGTGCTTGTGTAGAGGGAGGGGACTGCCAAAAACCGTCCTCAAGTTTTGAGAGATATATATAAAAAACTCGCTTCAGATGTTCCTTTTCTATTCCTTCTCTTTTATCTCTTTCATTTTATTGCTTTCCTTTGTGTGCGTTAGAAGTTAAGGCCATGTAGATATTTAATTACTGCATGTAGATAAATAAATAGGGTAAATGCATAATTTCTGTATCTTTATTTTAGAATTAGTCCATCATAGGGAACCTGAAAGGGGCATGTCGCCACCGTCAAAAGAGGCGGTCGGAGCGACGCAATGGTATTTTGATTTGACTTGCATTTTAAAAAGTGTGGTTATCACCCTTAGGATGTCCAATAACCAAACTATTCTAAGGGTGAGGTTTTCATAAGTGGGTTCTGGAGTCGCCACCAATATTTTAACCAAAAACATTGAAAAATGAAAAAAGAAGGCGATGGTTTTAAGAAAAACCAACTTTGGTCATTACAACCAAAGTTAGGTAAGGGAGTTAGTTACGTGCGGGGAAGGTATTAGCTTCCCCACGACGCCCCTTTCGGGTTCCCTATGATGGACTGTTATTTTTAAAAATAAGAACATTAAAATTATGCTTTTACCCTTATTTATTCATTGCAAAATTTAAATTATTGACTACATGACCCTAATAACTAATGCACATAGATGGTAATAAATTAAAGCGATAAAATAGAATAAGGGATATAGAGGAACCTTCAAAGCAAGCTTTTATAAACACTCTTGTAAAGGGCGTGTCGCTGCCGTCAAAAGAGGCGGTCGGAGCGACGCGATGGTCTTTTGATTCGACTCGCGTTTTAAAAAGTGTGTTCATCACCCTTAGCATGTCCAATAATTGAATTATTCTAAGGGAGAGGTTTTCATAAGTGGGTCTGGAGTCACCATCAATATTTTAACCAAAAACATTGAAAAAGGAAAAAAGAAGGCGATGATTTTAAGAAAAACCAACTTTGGTCATTACAACCAGAGTTAGGTAAGGGAGTTAGTTACATGCAGGGAAGGTATTAGCTTCCCCACGACACCCCTTTCGGGTTCCCTATGATGGACTGTTATTTTTTTTAAATAAGAACATTAAAATTATGCTTTTACCCTTATTTATTCATTACAAAATTTAAATAATTGACTACATGACCCTAATATCTAATGCACAGAGAGAGTAATAAAAGCGATAAAATAAAGAGAAGAAGGGATGTAAAAACCTTCGAAACAAGCTTTTATATATTCTTGTAAAGGGCGCTTTTTGGCAAACCCACGCTCTACAATACTGCTCACTCTTCTCCCGAAGGACTCTAGAATGCCTAAAAAGAACCCTAGGACTTTGGAAATGCTTTAGAGAGATTCTAGAAGAGTATATGAGGATCAAGTTAGGTAGAGAAGTTGTTGAAAAGGAGGAGAAGACCCCCCCCCATTTATAGAAATTCGTGCCCATCAGACTAGGAAGGTCGTCTCGTCTGACAAGGTCGAGACGACTGTCTTGCCATTCGGGACCGTCATCTCGACAACCGGGACCGCCGTCTCGCCAAATGAGACAGTGTTCTTGCTTTTGGTGAATGGAAAGACGGTGGTCTCGCCAAACGAGATGGTGTTCTCATTTTTGGCAAATGACGAGACGGCGTTCTCGCTTTCAGCAATTGGCGAGATGGTGGTTTTGCCTTTGGAAAATGGCGAGACGGCGATCTCATGAAACGAGACGGCGGTCTCGATCTTCTGGGCAAAATTTTCTTTTTTTTGTGTACAAAAAGCCTTCCTATTCTAATATGGAGCCTAGTGAACAATCCTAGGGACCTTTAAGGCCTTGTCCATCTTCG